CTCTTTTTAGGAAATCATTTTGCAGGACATTTTCTAAATTTTCCAGGACAACATTTGTTCATGGAGGTTTTCCTAATTTACCATTGCCTAATATTGACACATTTAACCAGTTTTATTCTTACCTTTTTTATGATGTAGGATTAATGATGGAATATCTTGGGTTACTGACATGCATGTAAAAAAAAAAAAGACCATCTTCCCTCCAAATTTAAAAAAAAAGAAGAAAGAAAAAAAGGAAGTTCTTATCTGGTTAGTTGTCCCTTCCAATACAAACTGTTCTGGAAATGGGTGATCATTCTACATTGAATTCAAATGTGAAAGTGAACTCACCTTTTAAAATGTAAAATAATTGTTCTTTTTTTAAATTTTAAAATTGCAGTGACTTTGAGGGTTTAATTAGTTCAAATCACAGAAGAAATTACTAGAAAATGTTTTTTCCAGTGAACTAGAATGGATCCTTATGTAGGAATTTATTAAAATTTTTGTTAATGAATAAACTAAACCTACGAAGTGTACTCACAGTTTTATTGTTATTAAATTAATACTTATCAAAGACGAAAGTTTCTTTAAATGAATATTCCTTTTCACAAGGTGTAATTTTTTATTCAGATAAATTCTGTTTATTTTCCCAGATAAACTTTATCGTAAACAAAATTTATGATTTTTCTCAGATATTTATAACTAAAATAGTTGTTAAACTTTTTTATCAACTTGCTGAATAGTACTAATGTTGAATGATGTTGTAGCATATGATAACATAATGATATTGTAGGATATGATAGCATAATTATTGATTCTGATAATTTATTTCAACTTAATTTATAGTAGTAGTAGTAGTACCCAGGAAGGAAATGTCAAGGAAGTGTAATTTTAAGGAGGAATGGAATGACAATCCAGAGTTCAATCAATATTGTAGGATATGCCAAAAATCATTCGATATTAGCAACCTTGGCTTATCTGCCATTAAAAGCCATGCCAAAGGACAGAGACACAAGGCTAAAGTAAGTCAAGGCAGTGTACCCTGAATGACTGATTTCTTCAATCAACCTTCCACCCAGAATTCTGAAACTGGCAAGCAGGCAACAATGTCAGAGAGTCAAGAGAGTAGAAAAGTCCAACCATCAACTTCTGAAAGTGTAGCTCTATCCCAAGTTATACCCAAAATTAATATATATTTTTGAAGTGAAGTTATTTGGAAGCAGAGATTTGCTGGATACTAAAAATGACCCTATCTCATTTTTTTTCAACTCCAGTTTGGATTTGGGCATGTAGTTTGCTCAGATGTTTATATTGCTAAAACATTTGCATGTAGTGCAACTAAAGCAGCATAACTGATTTATTGTGGCTTGGCACCCTTTTTCAGAGAGGAACTTATAAAAGGCATCATACAATCAAATTGCTACATCATTTCATTTGACGAATGCCTGAATAAGGTTACTCAGACTGAGCAAACTTAATTGTTTGGTACTGGAGAGTGAAGAGAATGTAAATTACCTGAACTCTCAGTTTATGGAACATGCCCAGTCAGAGGTGCTCTCCACTTGATCCAAACAAGCTCTTACAATTATCTATAGATGGCCCACAAGTAAACTGGAAGTTTATGAAATTATTTTAGGAGGACAGAAGCAGGGAGGACCTGAATGCTCAAAGGTTAGTAAACCTTGAGAGCTGTGGTCTCCATACAGTTCATGGGAGTTTCCAACAGGGTGAGAAGGAGACAGGATGGAAGATTGATGAAAGCCTAAGAGCCCTTTGGCAGATTTTTCATGATACACCAGCTAGGCAGGATGATTTCATTAAAAAACCTCAAAATTCCCACTCAAATTTTGTGCTCACAGGTGGATAGCAGATTTGCCAGTGGCAGAGCAGGCCATTGAGATATGGCCATCTGTATAGAAATTTATGAACCACTAGAAAAAATCCTGCAAAGTGGAATCAACATCAGAGTCCTATCTCATATTAAAATTTTTTGAAGCCAAGCTAGAATTTTTTATCTATATGGCAAGGCTGCTTGAATCTTTTCAAAAGGATGTCCCCATGCTGCCTTTTTTTGGCAAAAGAGCTTAAATCCATCCTGGTTAATTTGCTTTCATGCTGCACGAAGAGAGATGTAATCGAGGTCAACAGTACACCCTTACAATTGCTCAAAATTAATATGCTGAACAAAGAGCTTAATGTACCATTAAAAGAGGTTGACATTGGCTTTCCACCAAACATGTTCTGAAAATATTCCTGGCAACCAACTGCTGGGTATACAGTTCAGAAAGAATGTTTAACCTTCCTGTTTACAACAGCAAAGAATCTGCTGGAAAAATGCTCACTGAGTTATGCAGCAGTAAGACATTTAAAATCTCATGATTAGTGAAGAGAGGAGTGTTGTATTAAAATTTTAAAAAGCTCCTCCAGCTGCTTCTGAATGCTGAATGGCATGCTGCACATTAGTGTGACCAAATTTTGCTGAATAAAAGATTACTCACTGAGATGATTACAGAAGTAGTTCCTGTCGAGTAGACACATTTCTAGGAAATTTTTTAAGAGGTAAAGTAGAATACACAAATCTGTGGAAGTTATTGAAAAACTTTTTCACATTGTCACATAGGCAAGCAGCAGTAGAAAGAGGGGAGACTGTAAACAAGGACATTTTAGTAGGAAACCTGAAAGAGAAGGCTTATACAAGATTCATTGTGAGAGAGGCCCATTAAAAATAATACCCAAATTCCTAATACAACATTGCAAATCTCCAAGAATGATGTATATTAGTTATTTGAAGGAGGAAAAGGAAAAAAAATATCTGCAAATGATATTAAAGAATAAAAGCCTCAGTTCTGAAATCACAAATGTGACCAGAAAGAAACAAAAAATAATGGCCAGAATCAAAGTATTGCAACAAGAGGCAGATGCAATGGCAGAGAAGGCTGAAAAAAACCTGCAAAAAAACAGGACTTTACATTGCTTGCAAAATCCTAGCACAAAAATATTGCAGAAAAAAAAATAAAGAAGTGACCATTGTAGATACGACTTTGTTTGAATTAAAAGAAAGATTACAAAGCTATAAGTAGACTAACCTCAGCATTCTTGTTAGAGCTTCATGTGTAGCACTTTATTTTCAGTAAATCCAAGTCAATATCTGTCTATATATCTGAGATGAGCTATTGTAATTATTTACACTACTTATATTTTTTGGACTGTTGTCCTCATCTTTGTAGCCATATTCATGTTGTTTCAGCAATTGTACACTCTGTCGTGACTCAGATGATAAAAGCATTGGCTGTATCCAGTGACTTGACATAAAGAGCTGTAAGTTCAATACTGGCCACTGCAGTGATGAATAAAAACTTAGAGAGTTGAGTTAAAGGGAGATAACTGAGACATCTGGAAGAGGCATGGCATGTAGAACTAGAACAATCTACCACGTGGAAGAAATGCAGCACTATTTAGCTTCTTATGATTGTTTCTTAACTTTCATTTTTTCCCCTTACTTTGAACTTAGTGTAGGTCATTCTGATTGGTTAATCCTAATAAAAACAAAACAAACCTCCAACCATCTCTTCTCTTTCTTACTTTTTTTATTCTTCTTTTTCTTGTGAAAAGAGGGTTTATCTTGTATCTTTCTTTCTTACTCTTTTCTTCCTTTTCTCATGTAAAGAAGGTGTATCTTGTTTTTAAATTTCAATAAATTGTCTACTCACCAGTTATTTACTGATGTCTGATGAGATGTGTAAATATGCATTGAAACATGATTGCATTTGTGTAGTATTTTTTTTTTTTTTTTTACATATTTTTGATATAATATCCTAAAATGAAGAATATTGCTCTACTTTTGTACTGAGCACTCTTTTAAATTAAATGTTATGAATATCAGAATTGGACTCTGTTTGTTCTCATTTTATATGGAAAGATTATATATATATATATAAGAAATATAGTTTGAAGGTATGCTATGTTTATGGGATAAAATGCTCAATATCAGAGATAGAGTGTATGTAATTATAAAAGTAAACGTTGAATTCAACACACAGAGGCGACAGACTGTTTCATGCTAAATACAATCATCAGGCCAGATGCGTTCATGTGGCCTGACGATTGTGTTTAGCATGAAAGTCTGTCACCTCTGAGTGCTGACTTCAATGAATGGATAGGAGATATTCTGATAAAATTTTCAGTCTTCAGCCATCATAACAGTCTACCATCTTTAGATGGTGATACATGTTGCAATAAGGTTTAGTAGTCTCCAGTGTAAGCTGGTATCATGTTAGAGACACACATGCATTCTCCTTTTGTTCAATTATGAGTTGTTTAAGAAAGTTCAGGTTGTGGACTTTAAAAAGGCTGGGTGGTCATTTCAGAGAATTGCTGTGCATGATTTGTCAATGATGGTTTGATGTTGGCAACAGTAGTTAAATGAATATCTCTATAGTTATAGACAACATTCTGGGTAGTCACATAGTGCAAATCCTTACCAATACAGTACATTGTAAAGGCAGCAGTGGGGATTGTGGAGGTAATATTGGACAGCACCCATTGCATCAGTCAGATATTACCCACCCACATGATAACTATGCTACTGCAAGATATTCACTAACTTCCCTGGACAGCATGGTCACCAGAATTGTCCCCCCACTGAATATGGAACAGTGCTTGACTCATTCAGTTAAGTCTACCTACAACTCTTGCTTCAATGCATCATTTGTATGCATGCAAGCATACAGGAATCTGTTAATACCTAAGCAGGACATTTAGTGTGAGTTCTGCTGACACATCTCTTATTTTAGAACATGTGCATATATTGATCTGAACATGGTCATGATTATTGTAATCCAATTATAGTAATTGTACATTTAATTTGGACTTGATACACATATTTAGGGTGTTACAATTTTCTATCCTCAAAATAAAGAATGTAAAACTTTGAAAGCAGCATAGATTATTATTATCATATTGTGAAACAATGGTTGTGATCACATAGAAGCTTTCTTTTTTGAAATGCATAGACAATCACATCATTTACCTTTTGTTGTTGTGTAGACTCTAGCATTCATATTTGGCTTTCTTGGTTTTTTTTTCTTGGCTAAAATTTAAAAGAAAAATAGGAGACATGTTTGAACAGGAAATTAGGATCACTGTAAAAATGTTTAAAAAAAAAAGGATCACTTATCTATGAATATAACTTTGCATCATTCAGAATTCTTTTCAATGAACTTGAATGTTTTAAAAAATATCTGAAAACTTGATTTCAGCCATTAACAGATAATGAGATGGTGTTATGAGAGTGTTAGAAATTATAACCAATGATTTGTTTGCTTTTCTTGATACTAACAGTAAATATTTTATTAGTCATCTTATTGAGTCATTTTCACTCCCAACTCCAACTCAGCACTAATAAACTTTTAATATCACACACACAAATAGCATCAAGATTATCTGCATAGAAAATGTCATTGCAAACTGTTGAATGTCATTCAAGTTCTAGCTGAAGATGTTAATTTTTACTTCTTATTAAGGCTTCTGAAAAAAGGTATGAATCAAATAACCTCTCCCCTCCATACTAATAGAAGACTTATTTGACCCAGGCAGAGAAAACCTAAACACCCACTACTTCCTCACCCTAATTGAAAGTGTCATTGATATTCACCATAGCCAAGACTTTTGGCCATAATGTATGTGTTTGGCAATCTCTTTTTCTTTAATTTTTTATTCTTTTAACTATGGATTGATTTGTCTCATGTTGCCTTTTTTATTTCTTTATTTTTCTTAAAATTTTTGTCTTGCTATGAGGCCTAAATATATAACTTGGATGAATTTTAAATGTGAATTAAGTTTAAGCATCTAATGATGTTTTTTTCTTTCAGATTTAACAAATTAAGTCTTTGTCAGTTTTTACCATGGACAACGTGCTAAAGTTATCAAAGCCTATTACAAAAATGAACGTTCAAATTTATAAATATATGGCCCAATGATTCTGCTATTAAAAAATGCATACCAAACAGTGACCTTTGGTGGATGCAGTAGCTTTTCAACAATTTTCCTTGGATTTTCATCAGCCCAAATGCAACAATTCTGCTTATTAATGAATCCACCAAGATGAAGATGAGCTTCATCACTAAAGAAGAATTTTGGAAAAAAACCTTTATCGGCTTGGCTTTGCTTGTGCATCCAATTGATGAATGTACAGTGCTCCAAATAGTCAGCAAGTTTCAGTTCTTGTGTCAATTGAATTTTGTAAGTGTGTAGAGACAAATCTTTTGTCAAAATTCAATGTAACATTGTTGTGGAGAGGTTCAATTCCTGTGCGTGATGACAAATAGAGGGGGTCTGGATTTTTGGCCACATTCTTGTGCACTGCAGCAATGTTTTCAGCTGAATGGTGTAAACGAGCATGCAATGGTGTTTTCACATCTTCCACCGACCCATTTTGTTTGAATTTTTGAACAATTTTTCCAATTTGGTTGGTTTATTATGCAGACCAAAAAAATCATGATGTGTCAAAATGCATTTCTGTTTGAACATCCATTTTCATAATAGGCTTCGATAACTTTAAGACATTGTTTGATTGTTAATCTTTCCATGGTTGAAATTGACAAAGACTTAATTCACATATAAAATATAAATAAATATAAAAATATTAAACTTAATTCACATATAAAATCGCTCCAAGTTATTGGAACACCATATATATATATATATATAATGTTTACAGGTGTCTGTACTGTTTACCATCACATTATATTTAATGGAAATTTTTCTACAGTCGTAAACTGGTTCATGTGCCTATATTGACTCTTTTCAAAAGGGGGATCTTGGGATTTATACTAAGTTAAAACTTTATAGCTATCACACCCATCCTTAATCTTTCCTCGTGTTGAACTGGTGTGGTGCACACATATATTGTCAGCATAGATATTTACAAATGATTGGAGTATATTCTTAGGCAGATCATTATATATATCAGAAAGAAGATTGGTCCAGGAAGTGACCCCTGGAGGGCACCTGCATTGACCACTAGGGCCTTGGAGGACTAGCCATTAATAATTACCTTCAGAGATCTACCTGTTAGGAAGGATTTTATAAAAGAGAAAACCCTTCCAGTGATTTCATAGCTGGAAAGCTTGTGTATAAAATCTTTGTGCCATACCTTGTCAAAGGCCTTACCACCAGTCATGATGGGGAGGAGGCCCCATGCTTTGAGAGGATATTAGGCCTAAAACTCACAAGTGATCTCAAGTGAAACTCCTATATACAGTCCATCACTAAAGATAGTTAAAATGATCAGCTCCCTGTATCACATCAGTAAATAGCTGACCCCTCATGCTATCCTCTACCTTTATAAGAGCCAGATCAGGCTGGTGCCATATTTGGGTGGGAGCTGCCCATACCTCACTTTTCAGTTTTGATAAGTGTTCAAAAGTGTCTACGAGCCCTTGTTAGACAAGAATTATTTTCCACCTTCCAACCTCTCTCTCACAGGTGGGATGTGGTGAGTCTCTCACTGCTCTATTGCTACTACCATGGAAAGTGCTTAAACAAAATACATTTCTTGGTTCTGCCAGGTCTAATCTTCATGCCATTTACATAGTAGCAAACCACCCACATTACCTTTGTATCCTATCAGCAAGATCTATGTTCCACTTGAACAGCTTCTTCCCATAAACCTCTGCTCTGTGGAACAGACTCCCAAGAGGATATTTCCCCAATCACTACAATCTTAACCTGTTCAAGTCTAGAGTCAATAGTTATCTTCCCCTCTTATTTGTATAAACTACTCCTTAATGTAATCCTCTACCTTGAGTAGACCCCAAACTTTGATCAGGGTGAATTCTACTGTGTAAAAAAAAAAAATATCTGTCTGATGTGTAGACATTTATTAAAAACAATGGGACAAAGCTAAATGGAGTAGAAAGTACTTTCATGTAGAAGACAGATTCTTGCAATAAAACTTTTATTAGTCATTCTTAGAAGGAAGTAGTTTTTTTTTTTAACATTTTGCCATTTCACCCACCCATTATTAATCTAAGATATATATATATGTGTGTGTGTGTGTGTGTGCGTGTGGAAATAATAGGACAAAGTGAAAATGCTTAACGACACATTTCAATCAAAAATTATCATGGAAATCAAAGATGAGCTTGGACATTGAATTTTTGAAAAATTGTCTATAACATTTATACATATAATTTTTTTTGATATTGTAAAAAAGTCTGTCTTTTTATATTATATAAATAATTAGTGTTTACTTTTTTATTCTTTTTGCTTTTTCCATTATAAGAAATATTTATTTGCTGACAAAAACATATATGAACCTTTTATTACACACAATCATTGCGAGTCAGATTATATAGAGTAGTGAAAGCACAGTTTATAAAACAATAGACATTTCTAACTAATCTTACTTATTATAAAATGCAGATTGTGTGTGTGTGTGTGTGTGTGTGTGTCTGTACATTTATATATTGGATTAGATTTCCTACATTTTTCAACCGATTTCAACAAAACTTCACAGGACTACATAAAATTACCTTGTGGTGGTTCTAACAGCGCCAAATACTGGAAAAACAATTGTTTTTGCACAAAATTAATTTGAAAGCATGGTTAAGTGTATCGCACCAGGCCGGAAGTTATTGCTGGCTACTCAAACGTCCGAGTGCCGTTAACTTCCGGTGACTCAGCGTTTTTTTTTTTTCCGAGAACGATACACAAAAAAGTAAACAAATGAAATCTAAACAAACACAAGTCCTTCTAACTAAAAATAATAACGGAAACTACTTTAAATACACATGGTGTCCAAATTTTTTTACTGTATTCAATAAGTAAAAATCACAAATTCTAAAAGATTACAGAAAAGCTACTAAATGAATAAGATTTGTTACATCATAATTAATAAACCCAAATAAAGTTAATATTTTTTATATTAGAAACAATGAGTGGAAAATATATTGAAATCACAAGCAAAATATGCAATTTTTTTTACTGTATTCAATAAGTAAAAATCATAAATTGTAAAAGATTACAGAAAGGCTATTAAATGAATACGGTTTGTTAGATCATCATACTTATTATAAAACCCAGGTTGTGTGTGTGTGTGTGTGTGTTCGTTTATATATGGGATCAGATTTCCTACATTTTTCAACCGATTTCAACAAAACTTCACTTTTTTTTGGCAGGTAGTGTTTCTTATTGTCTTGCACACTTTTTTCTTTATTTTTACATTCAGAATGCTTTAAAAACTCCATTTACAAGACAATTGTTTATAATAAAATTCTATTCAATCGGTAGACTCATAACGATTGAAAACAATGTTTTTGTTTGAGTTTGACCAATTCGTAAAAAAAAAAAACAAAACAAACAAAAAAAAAAAAAAAACTAATTAAGACATGCGTGTCCGTCAACCTTAAACAATAATCTTTGTCAATTTTATTTTTCAGTCTTTATGATGGTCGATACTTGATCTATCTCTTACTGTTACATCCCCGGGCAATGCCGGGCTCTACTGCTAGTAGTATATAAACGTATTTTAATATAATTCTTAATCATATATATATATATATATATATATATATATATATATATATATAGAGAGAGAGAGAGAGAGAGACAGATAGATAGATGTGTGTGTGCGTGTGTGTGGTGAAAAATCATGAATCCCAAAAAGCTTACCAGACATTGTCTTACCAGTATTTGTAAATTTAATATATTCTCCAGTAGTTTTCAAAAATTCCTTTTCCTTAAGAAAAAAAATAAAAACAGGATAATAAAGCATTTGTGACAAAAATTTATTTTAAAATTGCCTTAACAATAAAACAGAAGATAACATAAAATATTTTAAATATAGGTTTTAAGGAGATTTTTCTTATTTTATGTGAGTTACAATTTTCTATATAAGAAAAATACCTCAACTTCATATATTTTTCTTCTCTTGAGGTTATAAAATTGAAAAATAAAAATTTCTTTTAAAGAATCTGAATGATATGATAAGGCTTATTTAGACAAAACCATTGAAAAAAAAAAACCATTGAAAAAAAAAAAAGATATATAAACAGTGGGCAGAAATCATCCTACTGAGGGGGAAACAACAGCAAATATTATAGTTTGGTTAACAGTAGGTGGTAACACTGTTATCGTAGTGCTAGTGATTGTTTTAGTGTGTCATGAGAGACACTGGCTGAAAAAGCATAGAGTACACAATGAGCTGATGAAAGACTGTGAGGGCAAGGCAAGGAGATTAATGTAGCTCACAGCGCCCCTAGAGTAAGACAGATTGAAGAGAGGCTCAAATGTCACTCAACAGGAGCAATGTCTACAATTTCTTACTATACTATCTGTGTTGAATCCGAAGAAAAGCAAAAAAAAAAAGAAAAAATGAAAGACATTTGTAGCCATCTATTCCACATTTTCTTTTTGGTTGAGATGTTGGAGAAAAGGACAATGGGAATTTTGTGTTTTAATTTCAACACCTTAAAAAAAAAAAAAAATATTGTGTCTGATAATTTTATACTACACAGGAACCCACCAGTTGACTGAAGATGAACATTGTTGTGATATAATGGAATTCTAACACAAAATAAACATGCAGATTGTCAGTTGCTTTTCTTTTTAATCTTAATTTCAAAAAGGCATATAAATAAAAATTTCCTGTTGACAGAAATTTAGACATTGATAATAAATGAGAAAATGGCACAAAATGTAAGCCCCGAAGAAAAAAATTCATATTATTCGTAAAAAGTAATTTTCAAAAAGGAAAATTAGAAAAAATCATTCTATACAAAATTGTTTGTTTATGGTATATAGAACTGGAAATATCAGTGTTTGAAAACATCATTTACAGCTGTTACTGGATATCCCAAAAATCAGTAGCAGAAATTTTAATATTCATTACCATTACATTTTAAAATGGTAATTTAAATAATTATTAGATTTCAATTAAGATTCCTGAGCATATTTGTTTAAGATTCCCTTGTGATAAAATTGAAGAAAAATATTATTTCTTTAATATAAATTCCTCCTTATTTTTATGGAATAACCACACAAATATATTAGAATAGAAATTTAAAAAACTGTAAATAAAGTACAATATTGTTTTGGCAAGTTATTTTTTAAAATAGTTAATACCATTTGAAATAAAACTTGGCAAAATTTATTTTTGTTTAATGATTGGTAATTGGAATGATAAAATCTCTCTTGTATTTTTCCTTTGAAAATTCAAATGTAATAATGTTGCATATGTGGAAACTGGTAGGTTATGTTTTAATGCAGTTTTTCCACTTGAAAGTGGATAACTCAGGAGACATGAACAATAAAAAACTAAGAGAACATTAGACACAGGAACACTTGTGTATTGTTTAATATATTATGTATGTACTTTAACAGTCATAATTTAGAGTAAAAATAAACCCAGTTAAATTATAAGCAATTACTTTCACTTGTTTTTCATGTTCTCAATATTGCTATAAATGTGAGGTTAAATGTATTTATTTTGTACATGTTATAAATATCAAATTTTGAATGAAAATGCAAAATCATTTATTTGTTTTTTCCATACTTTTTCATTTGCTGCAGTCTTTTCAGCTTTTGCTTTTAACTTGATATCTTTATGGAGTTCAGCAAGATCTTCAGCATAATTTCTTCTCACAAACTGAAAAAAAAAAAAAAGAAAAATAAGAGTTAATAAAAAAAATATTTAACTTTGTGCCCATTTCATTAGAAAGGTGAATGCAATAGTGGCTTTATTGGGGAATAAATTATTGGCACAAAATTCAGAGTTTACAAGTTAATTCTTGTAACGTATTTATAATGTGAAAAACTATCCCCCTGTTGGTGGAAAAAGCTCTTAATGAAGTATTGATGCAAAATTTTCATCATTAACTTCTCTACAATCTAAGAGAAATCTTATCAGTGTTTGACATTTACTTTACTCTTTATTGCTTGTGGGTATATAATTTTTAATAATTGTTTGTAGAAAAGTGATAATTTTATTTTAGTGAAAGACATGCCCAATATTAAATGCACCTTCAACATTCTTTTTGCAGAAAAATTAGGGATGAATCGGTGGAGCACTTGGAAAAATTCACAAGCAATCAAAATGGGTTCCACATTAATTTAGTGAACTATTTAAACCCCTTATTCCAGTTCTGCCAAATACCTTTTTGATTTCAAAGTATAATAAACAACCTTATCTCTTCCAAAAGAATTTCTGCTACATTCGCTCATGTGAATAGAATAACAATCTGTGGTAAAATTAGGGAGGAGCAAGATATCAACTTAAATAAATTCATGAGGGTTGTTTGAAAGTACCATTTAATCCTGAACAAGAAAAAAATCACTTTGGCAACTGACACTGTCACACTGCTCAGCTATCTGATCAGCCAAGGATCAATTAGACCCTACCTGGAGCGTTTACATCCCCTTAAGTGTCTTCAGATCCTTCAAGATAAGTCAGTATTACAGAGAGTATATCAGAATATTTTCTTATTATTCCCAATGGGTACTAAAATTTTTTGACTGGGTGAAACCCTTAATAACAATTACTTTGTTCCCTTTCTGAATTTTGAGAAAGCGTTCAATGACCTTAAAGAGGAGATTGAAAAGATCCTTAATCATTGAATCTGATGCCTTCAATATTGCTGTAGCTGCTGTACAAGCAGGCCAACTGGTTAATGTGATTGGGGTATTACGATTATGACATTGTATACCAACCTGGCAAAAAAAACAAAAAACCATTCCTGTTCCTGCTGATGTACTATCCTGCACCCACTATGAAGCTGCTATTGGTGATAAGAAATTGTGGGAGCTACATATTTGCCTTTGTCACTCTGGTGCAACAAGGTTCGCCCATTTCATTAAAATAAAAAATTTGTAGTTCATTGAAGAAATTGAATATTCTACCACTGGACTGGTACAGTAGTCTACTAAAGAGTGTCAAAAGCCTCTCCATTACATGGGCTATGAAACATAAAAAAAATATATATGTTTATAAAATAAAGGAGGGGAGAACAAATTATTTAAACCACCTAGTCAGTCTTGGATGGATTGTTTCACTTTAATATATTTCTTTTTACTTTCTGCATTCTTTGTTAGGCAAATAAAGCCTTTAATAAGGTCACTAGTTTCTTGTGGTTTACTACAGTCGGTGTTTAATGTATGGATTAGTAAAAGTCAAGATACATCAAATATAGAAATTGCAAAGACTGGAAGATCACGGGAGATATGACAAGGTTCAGCATCAACTGGTGAAAGTAATGTCAATCTCTGAGGAAAAAGTTTTAAACAAAATTCTCAATTTGGCAATAACCATCAAAGGCATAACTGAGGTGGCATTTTTATAAAATCTGTAAGAGACAAACAAACAAATTGAAATGAAAGGGAGACAGACACTGGAGAGAAGCAAGAGCAGACTTTTCAAAATGAACATTACTAGAGAAAACAAAATGGCTACTAGACCCCCATAGAGTGGTACCAGGTACATTATACTGCAAGCAGACAAGAGTAACACAATGGTGGTAGTAATGAACATGTTAGAGCAACCAGAAAAATTTCCAATTTGTTAAGATTAGCAACCTGCAATCTCAAGAACAATCTGAACATGAAAACTCAGAGCAAGTTATCATGAATCCTGGAAAAGAACATGACTCACTTCACTGAATTCAAACAATTGAATCATTGATACAAGTAACCGCAGGTAAAAAATCTTCCCAAATTCAATAAGACCAGTAACAAGTAAACCTGTGTTCTATGTAAAGAACTCTTCCCACTTTGTGGAGTTAATTAGAGATGCTCCTGCTTATTGCAATCAGATGTTATGAACCTATTTACCAAGTTTCCTACAGATGAAGTCTTATCAATTTTTGGGGAAACTATGAAATCAAACATGGAAGATAATGTGTAGAGTGAAAAGGGATTTCTCCAACCCTTGCAAAATGGAGTTAGAATAATAAAGAACATTGAAACTATCAATACACAGGCTCTGATAACTATTGCAGTAGAACAAGCTCTGGTTCAGAGAAAAGATATTTTCTGAACAAGGAATTATAATTTTGCTGCATGAAAATGTTGTTTTTCAAAGTGCAAATGAAATTCAGCAAATAATCAAGTTGCAGAGATAAAGTAACACAAAAAATATTCTATTTATGAGAAGTCTGCAAAAAGAAGAAAAATTAAAGATGATTTTATTATGTAACAAAAACAAAGAGAACATTTTATTATAATATAGGATTTTTCTAGTCTGAAACCAGAAGACAAACAAAATCTGTCTTAATGGTTCAATAGGTCAAATTGGCAGCTGATCTAAAAAATGACTTACAATCTTTTCTTAACTGAGGCAAAGAATGGCTTCTTTATTTTTATGCCTCTAAAACGAAACTGCTCTCTTAGTTGTTTGAGAGAATCCTTTTTGCCTTTCATCAGCATGACTGATGCTAACCTCTAGGAGAGTGACCCATTCCTTCTTGGGATTGTTTTCTACTGATATGAAGTGGAAAGATTACATCCATTGCTAGGTCTGCTGATAGGAAAGTTAGTTCACTGTGTCGTGCTAGACAATTTTTCTTGCCAGAATCTATTTTACATATTTATAAATCTACCATTTACCCAGGCTTAGAATATTGCTGCCACATCTAGTTTGGTGCTTCTGCTTTGTATTTAGAGAGTCTTGATAAAATACAAAGAAGAATCTGCAATGTTATTGGTCCTGACGTGGCATCTCAGCTTCAGTCACTTTCCCACTGTCGAATGTGTCTTTTCTATAAATACTTTTATGATAATTGTTCTAATGAACTTTCCCTTATGGTATCTAGACTTTATACAGTACTAGATTGGCAGCAAGGTCTCATCATTTTACAGTTGAAATGGCTTGATGTAACTGTAATTTCTTGTCTCTCACTTCTCAGTTGTAGAACTTTGTTCCAACCAGTTAGTTTTGATCATCAAAAATGTAAATACAATGTCAATTGTTATCTTCTGTCTTCTTAATTCCTGTTCTCTCTCCTTAACAGTGTTTTTCTTTGTTTCATATTTTTCATTTAGTAACATTTAGTAACACCTTTCACCACCTTCATGGCTGGTTTTATTGCCTTGTTTAGAGTGAAATGATTTAAAAAAAAAAAAAGGAAATAAGTTCTAAGACAAAATTCAAACAAAATTAACAAGTCATTTCTTGCTTCAGTTAACAACAGAGTGAAGGTCATTTTTTATATCATCTGCCAATTTGACCTTATTGATCCGACCAAAACTTACCATTAAAACAGGAATAAATAGTTGTCTCATTAGCACAGATACTGAATTGAGAACTGATGACATTGGGAAAGTCATTGATAAAAATTAGGGACCAAGTCAGTTCAAGGATAGAGCCCTGGGGGATACCTACATTAATGTAAGAAGATCTAGAGAAATGGCTGTTCAAGAAAACTTTTATTTTGTGATTGAAAGAAAGATTGAATTAAGTCAAAAATTTATCCAGAAATACCATAGTCCTTCAACTTGTGAAGAAGACCAGGATGACAAACCCTGTCAAACACCTTTGAGAGATCTAAAGAAACAGCCTGAGTTTCACCATTTTTATCTAAAGCTTGACAGACTCTTTCAGCAATAAACCATTAACACATCAACAGTTGACCTGCAGTTTGTCTCTTGCAAGATGAGATGTTTAACCAATCCAGAGTTAATTAAAGCCTCTAAGACTTTGCAAAAATATGTACAATAATAAGTCAATAGAAGGAACAGAGGGTTTGCCTGGATGGATGTTGGATGTTGGATTTAACAGCATGTCAACTCCTATTTGGGTCATTTTATGCCAAAGCCTTATTTATTTATGAATTTAAGATGGTTATATTGTATAAAAGGTTGGGAGGCTGTTGGGTTTCATAATCTATTGTATTTTTTTGGATTGCTTTTGTGATTGTTTCTGATTGTATATTTTCGTATCTATATCCATACATGCATATATATGTCTATACACACATATACACTATGTGAAAGTGTTATATTTTGTTGAGGATCTTGATTTCTTTGAGAAAGTTGTATATTTTATCTGTGTCTGTATTTTGAAAAATTTCTTTTAAACCTTTTCCATTGAGATATTTTTGTCTTATTTTAGTTATGGTTTTGCATTCCAATAGAATATGATTTATTGTGATTAGGCTTCCACATCTACATTTTGGTGGATTTGTCTTTTTTAATATATAAGAATGGGTTAAGTATGTGTGTCCTATATGTATTCTGCTTATGAGGACTTTTTTTCCCGAGTATTTCCAAGATTATTTCCCCATTTTCCTATTTTAGGTTTAATTTGAAATAGTTTGTTTCCGGTTCGATTTTTCCATGAATTTTGCCATTTGTTTCTTATATATTTATCTATTTTAGATTTTAAGTCTGTATATGGAATTTGAAGATTTTCATCTATTGTCATTTTTAAAGATGATTTAGCAGCAGTATCTGCCTTGTCTCCTCCTTGGATGCCAACATGGCTAGGAATCCAGCAGAAGATGCTATTTTTCTTTTTTTTCCATGGAATGTAGTTTATATAGGAGACTTTGTATTAATGGATTTTCCAGTTTTTCCCCCTTTAGGGATGTTAATACAGATAATGAATCTGAGAAAATAATATAGTTTTCTCCTTTGTTTTTTGATATGACTTTTAGT